GGCTGCGCACCTCCGCCAAAGCAGCAATAACAATAAACACATTGCTGCTGCTGCCGGCAGATGGTTGCACGTAATTGATTGTTATTAGAATCAATCACAAAAAATCAACTGATCTTTTGTTTCCTTTACCAAGGCTAGAAATAACACAGTTAGATACTGCGTACGCCAGTATATATACATATTTAGCTCTCATTTAAGGGGGAGTTTCACTTAGTCCACCTTTTATTGTTTACATCAACTGTTGTTGCGACAGAATTAATTTTTTTTTTTATCCACAGAGATATTCGGCTGCCCATGAGAGTACAATAAATCGTCTCCCCCAAATGAAACATTGAGATCGACAGTTCCCCACTGGACTTGGATTTTAAAAGTGTTCTTATAAAAATACATGATTAAATGTGTGAAGTACGACATGTTTGATGTAGGACTGGGGAGAGATAAGAGAGTGCCGTCATGAGAAGGGATGAAGGAGTGCCATACACAATTTTTTATACAAAAGCGGAACACGAACTTTCATTGGACCGGAGCTGGTAACCTTCCCATTCAATGGTGTTCAGTTTTCCAAAAATACTCTGACACCGCATATGGTCCCCATCTACTACCTTGGGGTTCCCCATGGACCAGTTTTTATTCTAGCGCTGGCATGCAGTGCATTCTGTCGGTGTCTTTTAAACTGCAAAGCGGACCGAATGTGGAGAATGCCATATGTGCATAGGGCAGGATCTCCAATGCTTAACTGCTTCTGCCACTTCATTTTGCAGCTCGAGGGGTGCCTAAAATAGACCCAAGTTCCTTTCAGTTTCTTCAGTTTCTTGGAACTCGAACGTAATCCTCAAACTGGGCCCGAGTCTGCGTTAAAAATCAGATACCAATGCAGACGTTCTTAATTGCTCTTTTCACTAACTTATCCAATTTGTTCAGAGGTATATATTTTTCACTTGGCAGATACTTGAAGCGTGGTACTGGTGCCGGAATTCGTTACCGCTCTTGAATTGTCATAGATGAGGGTCCGTGCAAGGCAATGGTACACACGTTTACAATCTGAAATCATTTGTTGGCGCGAAGTCGCTTAGAGTGTGTGAAATTCTCCGTGCTCCCAGATCAACCTTCTCTGAACAAGTGTGTAAGACATATATTATTTTCGTTTATTCGATTAGTTCGTTACGATTGTGTTCACACTAAAAACATTGCTCATATATTATTAGCAATAATTATAGCCGAGACTTTCTTGAGGTATGTACATCTTCGACTCGGTTAAAATTCCTTAACAATAACATAACTTGGCCTGTGGATAGATAAGGGAATTTTATACCATTCCCCATTCTCCGTGGATGGGTTATCGTTTCATTTTTTTTACTATTTCTTTCTTTCTTTAATCAGCTTCTAGTCCTTAGGCGCTCCTTTTGTCGATGTGTAAGGTTTTGGATTTTTAAAAGCGGATTGCAATATAGTTTATATGGTCGAACATGTATTGATCATGATTTAAAATGTATTGAAAGTACAGTTATCTACTCAACAAATACTGAGTATACAAAATAGCCACAGATTGATAGAACTCGCAAGACAAAAGGCCAATTTAAGGGGTCCGCCCTCAACCACAGCAAGCGCAGGGGGATGAGATGGAGAGAATAACCAGAGCTGTGCGTCCGCATCCCATGACAGACATATGTATCTTGTTGACGATTACAATTTAAAATTTACAACTTACATCCACTTGCAGCGACCAATTTAAAGATTCTTGAACTCACGCAAGCCGGGCTGTAGCTCTCCGGTTTGAAGGGTCTAATCTACGCCTGGAGATCTCAATCTATGCTCATGTGTGCCTTCAAAGAACTGGGTCTGCTATGATGTTTGTTTGTGTTGTCTTATTTGGGCCGCTCAGACAATTGCACAATTTACTAAAGAATGCGTATAAACGCCACTTAAAAACGCATTATTCAATTTATGCCGTCCTCGACATGCAAAAGAAAGCGACGCGGTTGAAACTCCATCGTTAGAGAGTAGGGTATATACATACATATATTTGGCTAGAGCCCATTAAACACTTAAAGTCATCTCCCAAGTCCACTGCGAGATCAGATTCGATTTAGAAAATGCTTAATCTATCATCAATGTTGTCTATCTTGTAAACAACTCATTTCTGCTCTACTCATTGCATTTATTAAGAATGTTCCGTTTACTTTACACAAGACTAAAGATATCTTCGACAAATGATATCCAATTTTATTGATTCTACAGATTTGAATTCAAGATTTCATTATAACTCAGTCAATCAAAAGATATGAACATTTATGTACGAGCATTCGTACCTAGTTCCTAGGGGTGATGGCTATAATATTAATATTTTCGCCTAAGGGAAATAAGAATCTGAAATCCAATCTCATAAGCATATTAATACTAGAAGCACAAAAGTATTTGGAGATTAATGGTAGACTCCCCTTATGACAAGTTTTTCTTCGCCTTTAAGTTCAACCATTTTGCGTGGCGAATCAGGTTGCCACAACAAAAACAATTAGGGAAGGCACACAAATCAATCGATAGGTGTGTGTAGGCGCTATGTCTCCAACGGTCTATACAAATTGTTGGGAGGATGACTCGGCTAATCAAGCGAAAACATCTCCCAACATTTTAGTGTGGGCGCTCACCAAAATTGTAGTATATTTTTGGTATTATGCGCGGTATATACTGAAATATACCAACGTTATTTAAAATATGGTATCACTAACATTTCGCGAGAGTGACACGGCTAAGATAGCTAGGACATCCACCACACTTTTGGTTGGAACGTTTGACAGTTATCGATTGGATTTGTGCCGTCTCTAATATCGCCAAAAAATCGATGTATCGCGCATCACTTCGCTGGGCAACGCGTCAATCGAAAAAAAAACTCGATTGCCTTGGACGTGTGGACGGTTGGTCGTCGCGTAAATTGTTTGCAGCTAAATACAAAGAAAGCAGAAGAAAAAGATAACCCAGTTTTCCAGTGCCGCTGCAGTGCATCACGAGAGCGTAAACACGCGTCAAATAGGCGGTGCTACGCCCGATAACATCCTTGTATGTTAATAGTGTATACACACTATGGGCGCGTCTCTTTTTGTTCATTCGTGTGTGTGTGTCTGACGTCTCTTCGTCTGTGTCTGTGTCTTGCCCTCGGCCAAAGTAATTGCACAGCTTATTTATATTCAAGATTCAAAACCCGCGACTGGCGGGGAATCAAGCAGTAGCAGTGTGCTGGTAAAATATTGAAACAAGTGTCGTCGAATTGTGATTTCTCGTCGGTTACATTTTCGCACGCACACAGCCAGCGGTGCTCTGAAACACACTCGCACACAAGCAAAACGAGATTTTGCAAGTCGCGTACGCCCGTAGTGTAGTTGTGTTGGTGCTAGTGCTGGTGCTTGTGCAACTACAAAATCCAATTGCTTATTGCTGGGCATAACTGGTACCCTGTACCCCAAACGCCAAATCCACCCAGCAAGTAGGCGACAATAAGGTGTCGCAGTGGCGCCTCCTCTTTTCCACCTGCCCCAGCGTCCGTGACTGTGTGTCAGTCGTGGTGATAATAATAGGAATTCCTACTCTCCGCTGCTCGTGGGTTTCAACGCGAAAAGCCACAAGTGAAAGTGGCAGACCCTACTTATCTGCGCTAATTGGCATCGGCATCAAGTCTTCGATACCCAGTGGATTACATCGCTCGCCTGCTCCGTCGACTGAACATCAGGAAACTGTGAGTATTTCTCTTTTAGGAGTGAATTACTGAAAACGAATACTATTTCTGACGCGTGACACGGAATAAACAACCATTTCGGACGTAAATGACAGCGAAACCGCCTTTGTTACTTGTGTACCGGGCACGATCTTCTTTCCGCTCTGCCCAAGCACTCGCCCAATTTGACTGGTTGCAGCTAAAAAAGTAAAGAATCTGACATTTGGGCAAGGTGGACTGGTTCCCGCGATGTAGCTAAAACAACTAGGTGTATCTGCACTTTCGTGCATTTGGCATTTTTGGGGAGAGTCGTTTGATCCCTCGGGCTTTCTCAGCAGTTCATTGACTTGCGGCGCCCGACTTGTTGAGCAGGTGAAGTGCACACAAATCCCATCGATAAGCTTCCAGACCAGCTTAAATTGCAAGACTGCGCTCTGCATTCTGCGCTCACTGCAAGGCAGTCGTGGTGCCCAATGCTTTTGAGTCGTTGAACCCTTCGCAGAACAGCGGGCCAAACCAATGCCAGTGCGTGGCCACGCCGAGAGCGAGTGCGAATAGCAAAGTGTAAACAAGTTCGGAAAACAAACGGAAACAAAGAGTGGAGCAGACAGTGGACCCCGTTGTTTCCCCCGTATGCTTCCTGGGCTTGGCTTCGATTCGGGGCTCTCCGAACTGCGCTCGTTTTCGTTTCGCGCGGCATTGGGAACGTGTTCCCAGATACCTCAGATAACTTCTCGCCCGTATCGCAAACCACCGGAGGGGCTTCCAACGGGAGCTGATTTTATGTGGAGCAACAATTGTAACCAGTCCGGGGGACTACAGCGAGAAAGGAGGGAGAAAAGCAGCTGGGGGACAGGGCAATTAAGGTGTAATTACTCTTTCGAGTGGCGATAACTGTGACATAAGCGCTGCAACCGCCGCTGTCAATTTACCTGCCGCATGGCCGCTGCCGCAGGTTGCGCCGGCAGACGCTTGCCAAATAGTTGAGTTTGCTAGCCACGGCATGCGGAGGGGTCCGAGGGGAAACATCCGAAACGGGAATTCGTTTCAGAGCAAAAGGCAACCAGTTTGGATAGGTTTCCGATCACTAATCATTGCAAATGCTTCGCGGATTCAGGTTCGTCAGTGCAAACTGAAAACTAGTTGAGGTCGAAGCGAGGCATTTAGTGCCACTATTTTTGTTTCTCCATTTGCTTTAGTGGCTGCTGTGTTTCCCTGCAAGCGGAAATTAAAATTGATAAATAATTTATTGACAAACAAAACTCGACTTGGATAAAATACAGTCTACGATAAGGGTGTTTTTCCACTATCTGTCTTGTTGTGTGCACATGCTTGGAGCATCTATATCCTTGTTGTAGCTAATCACCCATGGTGCATACATTAGGTTAAAAGGTTTGGGTTGATCCGATATAATTCTGTTCAGTTCGCATGGCAATATCGCTTTGACAGAGACAGTCAGCAGCTGAAGACTGGTTGGACCTTGATTTGATGGAAGGGTGACGTAATTAATGCGAAAAAAAGCATTTTGTATTTGAAATTAATCTATACATTTATTTAACTGACAAATCCACGATAATTGAAGAATACTTCGAGCAAATAGACAACAGCAAATGCCAAAAGGTCTGAAAAAGAGCATAGCGTTAACATTTCAGGGAAGCGCACTTGAAATGCTCCTCTTCACCGGGCCAAATGCAACAGAGTCCAAAGGCAGTGAAAAAAGAGAAAGTGATTTCAGAGTATGTGTTTACATATATCCAGCATCCCACGCGACAGAGTTTTGATTACGCAAGATAATATGTTAAAGCAAGCTGGTTTCCAGAGGGCAAGTAGGATTTTTGGTCGATCTCCACGTTATGTTTGCATGACCAGCTTGTTACTAGTAGAGGACGTCGCTGTCACTGCGTCAAAGAATCACCGGAATGGGAAGGTGCTAATGTGGACTAAAAAGAGAGGAAAAGCTGTTGGGCATTTCACGGATTTGACGGTGTTTCTTTGTTGAGCTTCGGGTAAACAAACGCACCAACTTCCAGATGTTCAGATCTCTCTACTTGGGTCTGCGGCGGCGCGTCGAAGGACGCTTGTCGTAGATCGGGCGTCGCACTGCAGTACCTCTTTTTTGACCATTCAGACTACGGCGCAGCAATCGTCGCTGCCGAGTAGTCCTTCGCTTGCGAGCCACACGGGCCAGAATGCGCTGGAGGATTGGAGGCAAGTGAGCTGTAGGTGGGGTATAGCTTACTGTCTTACTTCTGGCTCGAACAACCTCTTTTTGGCATCGCTCAGCGTGTTCCAATGGACGAGGCCCACCTGGAGTAAGCGGCGCAGATCGTAGCTGCGAAAGAACTTCCGCTTCAGGTAACGGAGGAAATTGAGGTAGGGCAGCGGGGCGACCAGATCCGGGTCGTCCACGATCTCAGCGGCACGGATTATTTTCGGTTTGGGGGGCGCCATAGAGCGTGTTCCAGGACCACTTGGATAAACTGAAGAAACGGCCTCTTGAACCAATCACACAGTACTATCCATACAAATAAACCCAGCTGCTCTGTCATGACTAATGTGGAGAGAGTTCTGTTAGGAAGTCAAGGCTGCTTAGATTTTCCTAAGCGAATGCCTATTTCCTGACGCAGTGCCCCGTCAAAAGTAAAGGCGGGTCACAAACAGAAGCCGAGCGGACTAAATTATCAATATCATCACCGAAATCTCGGTGGATGCTCACACTGAAGCTAAAATGGCTGCGCCCCTATATAGACACAATATCAGCTCACGACGCCCACAAATTCATCACGACTTGTATATTTAAAGTCCGAAGCGCGACTGTTTCCATCCTCTCTGTTTCTGCGTCTGTCGCCCTCGCCAGCGATGATCATTTATTCATGCCCGACTGAATGGGATCTGCTTTGAAACCCACTGATAAGGCACTTTATGCATTCCGGTCAAAGTCCGTGCAGTGTGTTCACGCATTTTGAGACGCAAACAATTGTATTTTTAGGCATTCAAAAGGGTACATGACAGTCGGAAGCGATTTATTTCTGTCCAAGATTCTTATGTCGTGAGTAAATCTCTTCCGCAGGGATCTTTATTATTGGGTCTATGTTATTTTTGTAGTTCCTTTTTTTTTTTACTCTGCGTGCGCAAATTGCACAATTATGTGCGGAGGAACTTTGATGAGTTATGAATTACACGATTATGGGCCATCACTTTCCCTGAGTGCAGAACTTTCGATAGTCGTAAACGTTGTAAGGGGCTATAATAGTTTTAATTACTTTCAATTTTCAACCAAAAGAAATATCTACTCAAGTGATTGATGTGGAATAGAGTGGAACGATGGAGTGAGCTATGTGAGCCCTGCTTTTACCTCCGGCCCTAAGCCACCCAACAGTTGTGTAACCAAACTTTCCCCAGCCGAAGATGAGAAACTGCCATTAGGCTTTTCCTCGTGCATTTCGACTGACTCGCTGTCCACTCCCTAATGCAGCGCTAAGTTAATGTTGTGTGACAATGCCCGTGTTAATGGATTCGGCTTGTTTCTGAAGCCTTGCTGCAGCTGCTGTCGAAGAGCTTGAGGCTCGCGGGAAAGCTTAATCTTTAAGCGATCAAATAAGAAAGGTGAGTTATAAGAAAATTGTGATAGATTCACATTGTGGCAAATACTTGCTGACGGCTCCTAACCGCCGAGACGTACAACTATTCAAGCTCGCCTCGTTACAATTCGCAACTCAACTGAAAGTTTTTCTCAAACAAGCTTTACTTGTAGTTTGGGCCAAGGCAAGTGGATTTGCTCAATTAGATATATTAATTAACTGATTTCGGAGACATGATTACCAGTTCACAACGAAAAGACAGCGCTTGGTTGTCGGTGTGTGCGACAGTACTTCGCACTTACGCTTGAAGTAAACATAACTTAATAATTTGTTTCTGTTGGCTAACAATAGCGGAGATAAGTAACTAGTATCACCAAAGGTAAGACTTTTTTCTGTGAATTGATTTTGAATTTCTGTACTGATTGTCCGATATGCAGCCATTTTATTTGGGGCTTGACCGTAGACTTAACGCTTGTTCACCTTGGGTGCTGATGAACGGACTTGAACTCTGTTGAACGGAGTTAATTCAGCTCCCAGATATTTTTGGAAGTCGGGACGCAATTTGCATGATGTTTTGCCTTGGCCGTTCTCAATTTGATTTTGGTGAACTGGATCAGTAGTGTTCTACAACCGCTTTGATCATACTTTAAGTATTTTGATAAAGTTACTCAACTAGGTACATGCGAGCGCTTGTGTTTACTTTCTTGTCAGTCTGATTGTGCTGACCTTGATAGCAGCGTTCAAGTAAGCAGGCATATATCTTTCGCGAGAGTCTGCTTAAACAGTAGAAAAGTATCTGCGTATTTGTCTGCGTCTAACTGCCATGTTTCGAGCAATTTGCGGTTTATTAACCGCACAGAAACGGTGAAACTTAAGATTCACTATTGCAATTGTATCTCTTGCTACTTCTGCGATTCGGATCCCTGTGACTGCAGACTTGGAGATGCAGAGAGAGAGGTAGATCGAATGATTACAGAAGGATTTAAATACTAATGTTTCAAAGTCTTTTTTTAATCAGCTTTTTCCTTAAACGCAATATTTTTTTACGTTGCATACTAAGAGGAAAATCTTTTTTTTTTTTGCTGAAAACAGCGATTGAATTGGACGGCTGTACCACAGCTGCATTTGATGATCTACGTCGCGTGCTTCCTGCAAAAATGGAACACGGTTGGTAGATGAGAAACAAAAACTCAACAACCATCTTGCCGATTTTCGAGTTCATATTCCACATGTTGGTTGCCACTTTGCAAATTGGGAATGGTATACATAAGTCAAACGACCTTCACTTTGAGAAAGTGTTAAGAAATGAACCGCTGGATCGTAGAGTTGGGCGAAACATTTACAGTTATTCATCACCTAACATGCTGTTGCGTCGATTATGGTTTCTTGAATTTTAAGCGATTGCGTTTGCTTTTGTCCCGAAGGCATTTGGCTCCCAACAATAACTGCAAACTAACAGGTGGAGCCTATGCCAATATTTTGCACCATTAATTCCTTTTCATGCCGTATTTTTAGCCTTAAATCCAAAACTTATTAGCTTTACAATAAATTTGTTATCCCAGCAGGCGACCACGCCCTGCGCCTGCGCTTCTGAGCTCTGGAGCCAGAAAATGGTTTTAAAGAGAGTTCTCTGGCCATTGAGCCGGTATCTGTATATACTCGAAATGCATTCGAGCGCGGGAAGAGTCGTGTGGTCTTTTTAAAGCATATGTATGGGTGGGCGTGCAATTAAGGTGATCCCTGCTGTGCGTCCGCTGCCAAAATGAATGAATGAATGCAGCCCAAAACAACTCAACTAAAATCAAGATAAGTAGAACATAAAGTAAAAATTGATTATTATGTTAAATTGTGGGGTGGAGTTTTGGGATTTGTAGGGAACGCAGCCACGACGTTGGAGCATGAAATTGCGAACATTCCGGCTGGCTCAATTTTCTCATGGAAACTTGCAGGCTCCCAGAACAAGAATCCATTAAAAGATCTGCTGCAGCTGCAGAAATTGAAAGTTTTCAATTTTGCAGTTCAAGCATCAGCACCGCAGTTAGCATTGAAAGGTCTTCTGTTGCCCCAAAGTTCGTTGACAGCTCTCAGTTAAGATGCCCCGTGCTCTTTGAGTTCGTCAAACGAAAACTGGGCATTTTGCAAAGCTGCCCAATCGCTGGAGCAGCACAGCTGTGCACCGAGGAGCTGATTCCAACTGCTTGCGCAAGCCGCAGCTGCTAGGCTTCGCTATCGGAGTCGGTGAACGGAATGGCTGAAAAAGAGCTGGGGGAAACCGAGCACACTACTGCACAATACATTCGTTGAGTAGCCGTGTGTAATTGAGCCGCAAGGCTAGATAGCAGTTATCTTCTTTGTGAGCTTTCATCTTGTAGGTCGTTTCAGAGAGCGAACTGCCGCTTCCACCTGGTGCATTCATTTAGTTCGAGAAATTAGACGAATCTTGAAGATGAAGTTGTGTATATTTTTATTTGTTTACCGTTCTATCGATTTAACTGTCTAGTCATTGCACTGAAGCAAATTTCTGATCATTCTTATTTTTAAAATGCTTCCCAGCAAGGTGGCTGCTTTTAATCTTTTGTAAACCACGAGTGTGACACTCACTTCCGTCCAAACAAAAGCTGCGATGGGGACTATGTAGAATAGAAATTTAAATTATTGTTTCAAACATAATTTTTTGTTTGGAGTCCAATGTGGCTATTTCCCTTTCCCCAGATGATGGAAAACTCGTTTGTCCCCATCGTGTACAAAGAGATGCGAGCTCTGATTGATTGCCGGCTGTAGTAAAAATCGGATAAAATCAATATGTTTTTAGTTGAGTTTTAAAGAAACGTTTTAGTTCGTTCAAAATCAGTAACCGATACGCAAATTTTTTCTATAGTTCCCCTTAGCAAATTTTTCTAACATGTGGACTTTGTTTTTATTTAATTTGTGCCACAAGGCACTTCAAACGGCATGTAAAAAAAACAGTTTCTACATTTGCCAGCTTTAAAAGAGCACATTCCGAGAGTGTGGGGCTTTATGCGCGAAATACTGCCCTGAACGATGAACTGCGTGTTAGTGTCTCAACACAGTCAGACAAGCATGAATCCAAAGGTGCCAGTTGGAATGCTCAGGTCGAATGGCTGCATATTGGCCGCTTTATAGAGTACAGCGGAACGTGGCCGACCGACGAAGACCGAACCGAACGCAGGCCAGAACATTTGTAGGATTGTGTAATGCCACCGTAAAAAGTCAAAGCATGTATAAAACCTGTTTGCAGCCAAAAATGTTTGTTGATCTGCTTCGGATTGCCATCAAACGAGACATGGTGAGAGAAACTACCACGGCAAGTGCCTACCTCTCTAAGTTGTAATTTAAGATAAGATAAATTAAGGGACTTCCCACAATCTTATGCGGTTACGGTAAGAAATTCAATCACCCTGTGTCAAGTGGAGTCACCTTACAAGGTTACTCGGCATTCTTCCGTTCTTCTTGGACAGTTTATGTGGGCTAAGCAGTGGATTTCAAAATGAATGTTCTTATCGGGCCTCTTAAAAATCAGTGGAACCCGTATCGAGCAAGGATTTCAATGGTGTAAGCCGCTTTAGTTTTCATTTATGTGGACAAATTTTAATTGTGGTGGCTTCCAGCCATTTTTATCCAATGATTCGCTTGTCCAAAACACCTATCGCTAAACTGCGAGAATGTTTCGTTGTCCATCCAACTAGGAGTGCCTGCCGTTTATGTACGTGTTGCTTCTTTAAGGAATGACGCACGAGCTGAAAAAGGGGCGCAACAAGAAAACCGTGCCTACTCCCCAAAGGAATTTTATCAAACCGGGTCCAAAGGGTGCCAGCTAATTGGCCAGTCTAAGAAGTAATCTAGCAGCCCTTGCTGAATTATTATACACGACACAGTGCTGTTAATGTTTACTTTTGAAATAATAAGATTTTCACTTAAATGAATTGCAGTCAAGTCTTAGAGTTGTAATGGTATATTCTGGGCCATTATTTTTATTTATTTACTAATCGCAAAGGGCCACATCACCTAATTCAATATATTCGTTGATATAAAAGAACCGTTAAGGCCAGCACCCGTTTTCGGGTAATGTGCAGTGAGCCCACTGCTGATGGGCTAAGACGTAATTGGGGTCAGGTCACACACTCATGAAATTTGAATGTCTCAATAAAAGCTGTACATCCTAGTATGCTGGGCAATGAGGCCGATTAAGATAAGAGTACAAAACCGAAGAGCAGCGCAGAAGGGGGCAGAAGGAGGGTTTCGTTCCGCACACTTTTCATAAAGCTCCCACGTTCTATTGGACACTTTCGGACAGCTCGAAAACCAAGGGAAACCGTGCTAAATGTCAATAGTTTAAAGAAAAATTCCTCATGGTTTGTTCGTGACAAATTGAGT